TTGGTGCTATATATTATATAAAGAACATCAAATAATTACAAAAATAAAATCCAAGTAAAACAAACTCAGTTTCTTTGGTAACTCAAACTGTGAGGATAGTTGTTGTTGGGTGTTGGTGAACGCTGGCATGTTACCCAAAACATCATGGCGTGTCACCTTTGACACATATGTCATAGGTTCATTATCACTGCCATAGATCCTCCGGATGGCTGTTCCTGCAAGAAGATCATGAAACGAAGGTTTTTGTGATCAACTGGTGAGTGACCACCTGGGGGGCAGGGTTTCCATCAAGTTCTAAGCTGCACCGAAGCCAAAAAGAAAATGGATATTAAAACTGAACTGCCCAAGTCTTCACTTTTGTTAGTTTCTATTTTTTAGTTAAAGAGAGACTTTCTTTGGCTGCAGGGGACTCTTTCCTTTCGGTGATTAGATGTATTTCCTAGGATTATTCACTTTGAAATTGACTTGGATATTGAGACTAACTCATCTTGCAAAAAAGATGAAGACTTGGTGATTTTTTAAAAAAGAAGGAAATCTTTTTGAAGGGTATTTTATTTATTTATTTATGTTTGACGAATCGGTGTCTTCAACATTGGATTTGGGACTGCGGGTTTTCGTGGGATAGCTGCTCCTTTTTTATCTGTTCTGCACTGATTGGTGCAGATCTGTAAACAAGGTAATTGGAGAAGTTTCCTGTCTTCATTGCGGAGTTCCCTTTCACTGTCTCCCATTCAGAAAAACTGTACACTGCAATTTCTGATTTATTGATCATGGCAACCAAAGGTTTATACAGGAGGAGGTCAGGAGAATATGAAGTATCGAATCCATCTTTGAAGAGTTGTCTGGCAAGGTAACATAAATTATAGAAGCTAAATTTGAAATGTTAGAATAAAAATTGGACTAAAAAACTGGACAAGATGGTTGCTGATTTAAAAGAAGTTAATGACAGAGTGGATGTATTGGGAAATAGAATGGACACTAATGATGCTGAAATGGAAAGAGGGTTGGATAATCTTGCTTTACTTGAATTTAAAGAAAACAAATTCTGTTTAAGATTAAGAGGCATTCCAGAACGTGCTCAGGGGAATATTAGGCAAGTAGTTGTGAGTGCCTTGTCCAATTTATTAAGCTGGGAGGAAGACAGGATGGGAAGAGGAAGTGGTCAAGGTGTATCATATGCAAACTTGCTGACTTTCTTTGAAGGAGCACCTAAATTGAAGTTGAGGAAAGAACTGGAATTGGAAGGTCATACCTGCCAATGGTTTACTTATGCCCAGTTCTTAGAAAGATTGAAACTGGACAAGAAGAGTTATGATTTTACTTATGAGAAAATTGACTTTGACTTGGCTTTGTGTACTAATGATGAACATCTTATTGCCAAATGTATAAACTTTTGTTGAAAATAAATATGGAAGATGAATATGTTAAAGACAATGCTTAAATGGGGAAAAAATGGATAGAAAATAAAGTTGGATCAGTCGAAGAATATGTGGAATAAAGGCTTGAAGTTTACACTTAATGACAATTTGAAAGAGAATGCTTAAAAGATGATGCATTGTTGGCTTTTAATGCTGGATAAACTAAGATGTATAAAGGAAAGTCAGATGTATGTTGGAAATGTAATCAGTGTGAAGGTACTTTTTATCAACTTTGTTATTTAATGGCACTGGGGAAATTATCTCTATGGTAGAAAATTAACATCAGTCCTTTTTCATGGACAGAAATCATAGAGTTGAAAAAACAGGATTTGCTGGGTTTCTTGTTCTTCTTTAATTAAAAGAACATTAAAGTGTCAAGTACAGTTTGTTGGAATTATTGATTAACATTTTGGGAGCCACCTACACAAAACTCACTGTACTATTTTATTTTGACATCAAATGTTCTTTTCTATTCAGATCTGGTCTTAGGAAAATAATGTAGCATTTGGGGGAAAAGATGAAGACCAGAAGGCCACCACTGGAGACCAAGATGGAGAAGATCTGCACAGCCACCATGTACTTCCCTTTGGTGCTCAGGTAGGAGGGCACAAAGGACAACCAGACACTGCAGAAGACCAGCATACTGAAGGTGATCAGCTTGGCTTCATTGAAGGCACCAGGTAGATTTCTGGCCTGAAAAGCCACTGTGAAGCAAACAGCAGCCAGGAAGCCCATGTAGGCAAGAGCACCATAAAACATGGTAACAGAGCCTTCATTGCATTGCAGGATGATCTCTCCAGACTGCAAGTTCATGTCAGACTCAGGAAATGGAGGAGAAGTCCCCAACCAGATGCTGCAGATGACAACTTGTAGACCAGAGCAAGAAAGGATGATGGAGTTGGCCAAGCTCTTCCCTAGCCATCTCTGGACTTTATTCCCTGGTTTTGTAGCCCAAAACACTAACACCACCGTGATTGTTTTGGCCAACACAGAAGAGACAGCAACTGAGAAAATGACGCTGAAAGCTGTTTGTCGCAGAAGGCAGGTGGTTCTCCTTGGGCGGCCAATGAAGAGGAATGAGGTCAAGAAGGAAAGCAGAAGTGATACAAGGAGGATGTAAGAGAGGTCCCGATTGTTGGCTTTGACAATCGGAGTGTCTTGGAATTTAATGAAGATTCCCAAGACAAAGCCTGTGATTAATGAGATGAACAAAGCAAGGGAAGCCAGGATGATCCCTAGATTTTCTTCATATGATAGGAAGGTCCTAATTTTGTGTATACAGTGATCTCGATGGATGTTTGGATATTGATCTCCTGGACATTTGGTGCATTTTTCTGCATCTGAAAAAAGCAAGAGTAAGATTTCCCAGAAAGCACATACAAGTTATCCCAGCAGAAAGTGGAAAAAAACTATACTTTTGACTGGAAGAAGGAAAATTAAAGGAGTGGGGGTGACCCTGAGTTGTTGTTGTTGCTGTTCTTATTT